TGTATACAGCTTTACAACAAAATCTGTAAAGTAGTTGCTCTCCTCTGGTTCTCTAATTTGTTTAGGCAGTGCGCTTTCCATTACTAATCTAGCTTCCAAAAATGGCATTTAGCTGTAGTGTTAGCAGTCGTTGCTGGCAGCTAAGTAAGCAACGGGAGGTCGTACTCTTTGGTTTCCTCGGTTGTAAAAGTTTCGTGCAGATTTCCTCAGCCCTTGTTCGACAACAGGTAAAATGATCATGCTCACGGCTCAACTAAAAAATATCGCAGATTCCAACTAATTCTCCTAAAAATTTGCCCTAGTTGACAGAAGAGTTCCGTCTGCTCCAGTATTACTCGAATGATAGAATGGAATTTTTGGATTTGAGTTGAAGACAGGGCTTATCCCAAAACAATATTGACTAACAACGGAATCTTCACTTACTTCTTCTTCTTTATTCTTTAGATATCCCATCTATCCGAACAAGCCACTTGACTTAAACTTCAGGATATCCTCTGGGACTCAGTATCCCCTAGCACTGGTTCATCTGTTATCGGGTCCAAATCGCCGACAACTCCATCCCACCTGAACTTTGATACCTTAGCGAATGCGGCAACGTCTCCGACCTTCGATCGCCAGCTGATGTGGGAACCTGAGCATCTTCTCTCACCTCTATGTATCAAAAACTGGTAGTGTTGTTCTCCTGATGGCGGTATGGATTGCACTGACAGTATAGCCGTTTTTCTCAATCAACTTAACTTTTTCTTAACTCAGTTCAGGATGCATAGCCAATCTGATGTTCCCTTCTCACTTCTGTGTTGATTTTTTAAAAATCTTATTATGTGATTTGCTTTCTTGGTGTTCCTTAGGTCATCTATCTGACAGTAAGATGCTCGAAAAGTTGGTGTTCTACCGGAACCAGTCTGGACGACACAACCCAGGCCCTAAGGAGCTCCAGGCGCACCTCTTCCTAGAGCGAGTCGCTTTTTCGCACGGGGATAGAAATTGGAAGCATTTTTCATTTTCTTCATCATCAAAATAGATGATGTACGATTATTGATTTATAACCAGACTAACTGCACACCTGTTCTCCATAGGAGTAGCGGTAAATATGAAATAATCGTTTGGTGTACCATTCCATGTCAATAGATTACTGCAGTTTTGAAAGTGGTATTTTAGGGGTTATCATAAGAAAATACACCGTACTCTGTTGCAAATTGTTTTTTCCTATTTGAAACTTTTCCTTTACAAAAACTTTTGACTCGATAATAGTGTACTAATTGATGAAAATTAGCAACTAACTCTTGGCCAATTACCCTTACACAAGTTGACAAGCACTCGTTGCTAAAAGAGCTTTCAGTAAAAGCAAAAGGGCATGTTCATGCACTAATTGCAATAATAAGATAAACCCGTTTCATGCGTTTCATGTTCATCCCTAAACAATATGCTTGTCTGGCGTTTCGAGTCATGTACTACTTTTGGGAAGTAACGGGCTTCAGGATATTTTCCAAAAAAGTGAATACCTATGTACCTAACTGTTTACTTAAATCATCTGAGAGTAGCCTGTTTTGGTTCTTCTCTTTGGTGTGGTGCAATTGAGCTGGTTAATTTGGGATTTGAACCGGGTTTTTTCAACCGAAATGTACGCCAAGATGTACTGAAGCACTGAGGATGTCTAGGCCACTCAGTAGATTTAGCAGAAAACAATTTGGGACCCTAATAGCCTTGCATACACTTTGCGTCAATAGTCGAATTGTTGAGAGATGTGGAAACCATTCGATTTAGAAGTGAGCCGGAAGATCAGATACCTAAGCCGATCACTTGAGAGATCAAGTGCTTCACTTATTCTTTTTTTGAGCCTACTACCAATTTTATTATTAAATAATTAAGTGAGGAAAATGTTAGACTGCGAAATTTGGTCAAGGCCGGGTTCGATTTATAATTTGATCCACCAATCATGCCTACCCTAATGGTCCTGCCAGCCACTGCCCAAGCTTCGACCGCAAATATCAATATTCAATGGCCCCAAAAAGTTCCCGTTGTTACTGTTAGGAACGTATACGTATTACTCAGATCTCTCTACTAGAACCTGGGAATCTATAAATGTACTTTTAATAATGATAGTCAGCTCATTATAAAATTTTCTCCGGAAAGAACATAATTCAATATTGTTGGATTTTGCGTTCATGCATCGATGCTGTCAGAAAATGCCTTTTGGCTCTTTAGAGAAGGCTGTCGAAGTTATTTTCCATGGAAAAAAAACTTAAATTTTCAATAATTTCTTCTATGTATCTCAGGCTCAACTGCATGAGTGGATTGCAGGGAACGGAATCTCCCGTTTTTGGCAAACGTAAGCAGCCGACTTCCATCCTCACGGAATTTCGACTTGTATTCGATGTATTCCAAGTTCAGTTCAGTTTACAAGTATGTAGTTGGCCAGGTAACAAAAAGGAAACTACAATGAAAGCGTAGCGGGAAGTGCTCGATAGCACAGTGTTTGTCAAAACCGGGAAATTCGATTCAGGATTTGATCTCTCGACAACTCAGGCGTTGATGGTCTCACAAACATTACCTCTTTCAAAGCTGCAACCAACAATTCAGAACATCTGATTAATATTCCTTCGTATTCTTCCAGAACTGAAGGCTCAACAGTTCCTTTCCATTGAGCATCATAAACTCTAGTCGAAGAGTGAGTACTTTTTCAGAGAGATTGTGTTTTGTGCAAACTTCTCTGGCTCGAACAACGTGCTATCCGAATTTCCCGTTTTCTCCGTAACAAACCCTTTTATTCATACTTCTTTATCCGTTCATCCACTTCTGCTGTTATTCACCCTCAACGTTTTCATTCGCTTTACATTCTTTTTTTCAGTTTTTCTTTCCTTTTACCTCCGTTTCTTTTTAACCGTTCTATCTTAGCGAACCTAGTCTTTAGTGCTCTCTACTCTTCACTAATTATAGACTAAGCTCGCTTTTCATATGTTGTGATTTGCTGTCAATTATTGAAGTGCGTTCTCGATATGTAAACTGACAGTATCGTACCAGAGCAGACTATCATTTTCACATTTGTCTTATTTTATTTTAACTTTTCATCAAATGGCAGTCTATTTTGTAATATTTTTGCTTTTGTTTTATAGTGTAGGCGTGATTTACTATCAAGCAGAACTTTTCGTTCCGTCGCGACTCTTTTCTCCTCCGTCATGGCGGTGATTTACGCCTCCAACTTTTCATCAAACATCGAACATTTTTTGCAGAAAAACACGAAAAAACAAGGGCTATATAATCAATCAATGCCGATTTTCGTCTTATTGCTAGGCGTTCATAGAACTTTTCTTCATTGTTAGTTGAAGATGGTGGAGAGGTTTCCTTCTTCTAGTCTTTTTAGAATAAATAATTACTCTCATTAACTCCTCCATCTGCTTTGTGATTCCGCCTTATCATCAGATAAAACGAAAAAGCTGAATGGTTGGCTCTAATTTGAATGATTAGCTTTAAATATCATATATTTGACCTCAGTCTGCACTCAGTAATATTTGAATAAAGCCTAGCCAAATGCGTAGCATTTGTAATGCCTATAGCCTACAAATTACTCGAGTAACCTGTAACTTTTACTTTTTCGAATTCAGGGCACTACAATTGTGTAAGTTTTCTACCAGATGTATTCATGTATGAGTGAGACTACTCTGTAGTCTCCTCGGAAGAGAACTCGAACCTCTTTTCGAAGAAAGGGTAACAGTTATCTTCCTTTTGAGTGAATTTTCCAAAGCTCACCATATTTCTAAGTCTAAATCAGTTTATAATCACTTTTGAGGCTTTTAAAGCCGTTTCTGACGAGTAATTTAACATTATGCACCAGGCGGATTACTTGCTGCCATCAATGCTTAGGCGCTTTAGGTGTTTATTGCCTCGGCGATCGCAGCGAGGCCTTGCCCTGACTTGCTTTTATTATCTGTAACTCTTACTTCTTACCATTTTTTGTAAGTTATTCGTCATGGCTCTATTTAGAGATATATTCCATAGAGCTTTGTCATAGCCTCAAGAGATGGTCACAGAGCTCATCTAACTACACCTTTGCTGCGTAGCTTCCTCTGATACCACTTTGGATAACTTGAATTGATCTGCTCTTCGATATAAGATCTCTGTGATTAATGACTGTTCTGGTCGATTTATTTACCTTAGATATTCGACTTTAAAATGTTTAACAGCATTGTGCCAAGTTGAGAAATTACTGCTTCAAGGATACCTACATATCCAGTTGGATTGCCATTTTATTTTGTTCCCGCACAGGCTTTCCTGTATCCGTTATGATTCAAGTCGTACTCAATTATATTCACATTGGATTTATATCTAAAAAAAATCTTTTGCAGCAAAATTACGGGTTAGCAATGGATGTCGGCCTGCTGAATTCCTCGTCTTTACTCGGAGGTTAGTCTATTTCTCTGAAGGCTTTTATCATTATATCCATGCGAATGATATGCAGAATATATATGTATATATATAGATGTACATATACAAATCATTTATGTAGATATCTATTTTTCTAAGATTTAGCAGTACTAAAAACTTGTTGGCACGGATTGTTGCATAGTACATTGACGATCTGTACAGACGCTGAAAAGTTAAGCCTAAGTACCTACGAGTTACTTAGGCTTGTTTTGGTCTTTGTAATTATTTTGTAGATAGATGGGGATACTATTCTTGGCAATACGGCTTGAAAGCAGGAGCGAGGCCCATCCCAAGGCCATCGATCATACTGTAATCACTTTTATCGATTATACCTGGAGGGTAAGGACCTTAGCTGCGTCAAACATCAAACTGCATTTCCCCCCTGCTTTCCAGCTGCCCTATATCTATATGTTTTATTGAGTGCTCGAAGCCATTAATCTCGTCAGTCAAAAGTTTTTTGATAGCCATTTGAATTGATCCTCTCAAAAGCGGAGAAAGGGCGTTAAAGTGCGTGTGAAAAGCTTGGTATATATCTCTTTACTGCGATAATCTTAGCGATTAACTTTTATTCATCATCCATGATTTCTCAACGTTTTCATACAGATGGAATAATGTGGCGACATCCGCTTTTGGCAGTACTACTATCGACTTTCTGCCTACTAACAATAGCAGGCAACTGCCTTGTGGTTATTGCAGTATGCACAAAAAAGTATTTACGAAACCCCACAGGGTATGCTTACTGTTCACTCGGTTGTATGACCATTTTGTAGATGATTTCTTGGAAAGATTACATTCTATGCTCTAGGTATCTTATTATATCACTGGCTATCGCCGATTTGATCGTTGGATTGGTAGTGATGCCGTTAAATTCTCTATTCGAAATGACTAATCACGAATGGCTTCTGGGTATGATCTATTTCTTCAAATCATGTTTCACTCCTCATATTACCGTACGAGTAATTTTTTATTGTCAGTTAGTCAATTAGTGATGAGCTTGCTAGATCTCAAGTCATTAAAAAACTAAAAAAAAACCTTCGCATCAACTTCGAGTTGGATTGAGTGTTACTTATTAACTTACAGTTAGTCCAGAGCTTATGGACTATAGATGAAAATCGAGTGGGCAAAAGAGAATTTCCATCGTTACGATGAACAAAGCTCGGAAGCTGTAGTTGAGGGGATGAAGTACCATTTAGTAGAATAGTTAGGATCCATGTGGAAAGTAAAAAAAATATTCCAAAATTGTATTACTTGAAAAAACAATTCGAATCGATGAAGCGGGTCGAATAAAGGCAATAGCTGACATTATAGGATTAACGATGTGCGATTTGTTCCACGCATTAGATATCCTGGCATCAACGAGTTCAATCTGGAATCTCTGTGTGATTAGCCTTGATAGGTACACTATTTCATTTTTTATTTTCCTTTCTACTTTTCGAACTATTACTTGTTATCAATTACTATTAAGTGCTAAATTTAAATGTACCTGTGGTAGTGTTGCAAGATCAATGGGCATTATCACGTCTTTGTGAAACTCTTAATAGAACAGGAAGAGTTATGGTGACTATACGGTGCAGAATTTACAGCAATACTGGACTAATCAGTGTAAAATATGGTAGAAGGATTAGGACGAAAGCCTTGGGACGTTAATCAATCCCGTCTGAGGGGTGTCCCCCACGCATTTGACTTCCATTCAGTGGCGTACTGAATGCGTATGTGGTCTCTACAATGACTTGCGGTGGCCAGCCGGTGTACAATTCAGTGCTTTTATCCTTCAAAACGAGTACGGTATCGAATAACCGGCCTCGGAGGGATGGGAGGCTTGATTGGCCTAAGCTGATATCTACTTTTTTGTTTCCTAACCATGACACACGATATCCCAATGATTGCCATGTAGTGTTGTTCCCATAGACGGAGGTGCTGCAGTGGCAAAGGCGCACTATTACGCACGCATGGTTCGGGTATGATTTTCGGATCGATACTCGCCCAGGCCAACCAAGCATTTCATGCCCCGGGGATCAGCTATTTAGTACCAGCTCAGCCTGAGAGGATGAAGTTTCAAACTTTACATTGGCTGACAATTGCTAGTCTTTATATAAACCACATACACATCCCAATCGCCACTACAATTCCGAATGGAAGTCGAAGGCGAAGATACTTCCAAAAGGCGGGAGTGACTAACTAGAAGGTTTTTATTATTGCTCTTCCTTGTGTCTTTCATGAAAATGAATAACTATTCACTTCGGAACGCTTTTAGTAGAGATTTTTCTAAGGTACATGGCTGGTCAAGATCCAATAGGATATCGTGATAAGGTCTCGAAACGACGTATTCTGATGGCTATTTGTGGCGTATGGATGATGTCAGCTTGTCTGTCATTTCCAGCTATTATATGGTGGAGGACTACATCACCTCACTTGTATGAGCACAAGGTACTCAACTGTTTCAGAGTTGGAATTTTCTAGTGAAAGACAGGGCACCGCGCTTATGGTTTTAGTATGAAAACAGAGTTCCTTCCTTCTTGAAGTAATGCAGTTCAGCCATGCTTGGTAGCACGTAGATGTAGGCGATAACCTGGTGGCTGAGAAGGGTTTCAAGATGCTAAAAAAGATTATGTAGCCATTTCTCCAATAGGGTAGGTATGTAGGTCTGAGACCGATGCCATCTCTGATTCATGAAAGCACCCTCCTCGTACTTCTGTACTTATCGCTCGCAATATCAAACATGGCAGATGTGGTTTTGAACCATCTGTCTCAATCAGTAGTGTAGAATTTCTCTTCCGATCAAAATCATATGCTGAGGATATCGTCAGTCGATATGCTTTGATTTGTTGTTGGGATGAAGGAGTATGAAAGAGTAGGAGTAGGAGTGGCAGTAGGAGAAGGAGTATAAAGGCCTGATACTTCATTCTCCTACTTTTGTCTCCAGTTCATTTAATGAATCATGGATTACCTCTGAAGAACAGGAATCGTTATCCAGTAGGATCCCTTTTGAGAGTTACGGTAGCAATTTCGAGAAGGAGTGTATGCCATAACGGAAGGTGGCGCCATCGACGGAGTAGTAGCTTCTCTGAGTGGACATTGGACCCTCCAGAAATTTACACAACTGTTATCCAGTAGAAATAATTTTTTTAGGGATTTCTTATCTTTCAGTATTTCAACCGTAGATTACCTGCTCTATTCCTCTATTCCTGTTGGAAGTGATCTGGTCTGAGTCTGAGTGCTACAAACTGAAATCAGTTCGTGGGCGTTGGCGAGAACTCTTGCATAGAAAATAAGTCACAAAACGATTTGCAGTTTGTTCGGGATGTTTGAAACGAGCGTTTTTTTCTAAATTCCGTCGTTAATTGTTTGCCGTGAACACGCTGCAACAGAGAAGTGCAAAATCCCTTGCAATAGTTTTTCAATTCCATTTAATAAGGTTTTTCATTTCAGAACAAGTGCTTATTCACTGATAGCGCCATGTACGTCGGTTTCTCTTCACTAGTATCATTTTACATTCCTCTATGTCTTATTCTATTCGCTTATGGTAAAGTATTTGTAATCGCAACACGACATTCACGTGGAATGCGAAGGGGAATGAAAAAGGTGAGGAGGTGTTAAAATATTCAAATTGGAGACGCTACTGCGATTCAGGGTTGAAGGCGAATGGCTTTAGCAGGAACGAAAACTCAGTACGGGGACTCCTCCCTACAGTGACTTTATGGTAGAATAAAATGCAATGGGTGCAAATACAGAAATCCTCCAGTCGTCACATATAGGGTTATCAAAAAATAAACTTCGGCAACGGTCCGGGGTGGTTGGTTGGGTTAAGCCGGGGCAGTGCTGCATCACGATCACCCGTTCGATTCAGAACTTACAGCTGGATCACTGCGAAAACCGGGTTCTCATACTGAATTTCCGTTTCTGTTGGAATTCATGCTGTTCAGCTTGCACAGCTAAGGTCTCAAGGTGTATGATCGACTGATTGATACAAGTATAAAACTAGAAAGTATTACATTGACGAAAGTTTATAGTAACAAGGAAGTGACTGATTAGAAATATCATCACCTTTTTGGTGTGCTTTTTTGTCGTTCTCAATATTTTGTAATGGTATTTCGCGGATATCCAGATTAGAATCATTATGATAATTCTTCAAGCAGCCGAAACATGTTCTATGTTCTCTAAAAGGAAACGAATAGTTTCGAAGAATTTGAATCTAAGATTAGTAGAAAGAGCAGTTTTAAAAGCACCAAAGTAACTAAGTTTACCATAGCGTTTCTATCGCGTAGGTGATCTCCATCTCCACACGTTCCGCAGCTAGGGACAATACAGTACACAGGGACGATCAAGGCTCTTCATGAAGATTTGACACTTTGCCAGATTACCACCTCATGCATCTTTGAAGCAACTTTTACATCATAGCAATACTTGGTTTTTCGGCAGGATATCGGGGAATTGCTTTGAAGGCAGCGATGTGATCATTTAAAAGTGATTTTAACGAGTAATTATCTAAAACTTCTTTTCTACTCAGGTGAAATGCAAGAATGGTCGGCGAACACAGGCTGATTCCGAGAGTATGATGTCCAGTGAAGCCGAGCCCACACTACGCATTCACATAGGTAGAGCTCGAAAAATGAGTCGAAGCCTTCGACAACCACGAACAGCTCAGGAGTCCACAAAGTTGCTGCTCAAACAGGTTCGTTTACTAGTATCCAAGATCAACTAAATCTTGGGTACAATTTCATGTATGGAAAGGCTGTTGAAAAAATTATAGATAGCTCTTAAGAGTCCCAGGTGTAGAAAGTATGTTCGACTGTCAGTAAAACAATAAAAGTAAATGATTCCCTCGAATGGGAGTCTTCTAGAGTGAGCCATGTTGTTGTTCTTTACCAGCACCTGAGAGCACGACTGAAAGAATGAGGTCTATGCTTCTTGAGAAATGAATGAAAAAAATCTTTTTTATCATTCATCTCGGCGAAGCGGATGTTATCAAGTAAACAGCTCCTAAGTGTAAAAAAAAACTTTAAAACTGTATTTGAACAAGGTTGTCAAGCAATTCGGTGTCATGCCCATTTTTGTCCTTCATTTTGATCTGAAGACCAGGCTATATCGATTTTTTTAGCTCAGCGGTATGCTCCGGATAGAGTGCCACAGCTTTTCACAGCTCAACAAAATGGTATTACGCTCCTATCCTACCTCTTCTGATAAAATGGGTCTTATCAGATCAGAAGCTGAACAGAGGATAATCCAATCGATTCACATCGGATCTCCATGTCAATCGTGCGGAGTTATGAGCCCAGCGAATCCCTTCAGCAGAAACTCAAACATAAATCTAAGCTTTCAAGCACCGCACTTGATCCCTAGGAGCTCATGCTTCAACTGCTTGTATTACCCTTTTTACCTTTAGATCACGGCCAGTCCACTCATGTAATAGTATGCTGATCGAGCTGTACGAAGAACGATAAAACTGCAATAACGAGACAGCTAGTCCGCGACTGCCGCGTGCGGCGAATCGATCACACAAAACTGATTCAACTGCCCTTCTCCCCACGCGTTATGGTGAACTGAAATGCGATGCTATCGCTAATAGCCAAGCATATCCGCATACAGCATTGTTAGTGCAGTGGAAAATTGCTTAACTAGAAAAGCAGAGATCTGGGGCCAGGTCTTCACTAAGGCGTTGCGTTTTACATTAACTTTACACCGTTGTGTTAACATTTCCACAAAACGCATCGCCAGATGCGATGGGACATGGGGGGGGGGGGGGGGGGGGGGGGGGGGGGCACAGCGAGACAAAGCAAATCAGATCCAATTGAAAATTCAAATTGCTTGAGTTATAATTACTTGTAATTAAGGTTTCTTGTAAAAGTCTCGTTGAACGAGAGGATCAGCCATTGGCCAGTTCTCGAGCACCACTTCTTCGCCAAGAGTCTGCGAACAATGCGAGATCACTGTTCCGAGTTCGTGCTGCTGGGGTGCCTTCATTTCGATCCAGTACGCTGAGTGTAGCCCATACACCGGTTCGTTAACTAATCTAGCCGATTTCGCCGACTAAAATGCTAAAAAATTTTGAGTTACTTTGCTGTTATAGTCTCTCCTTTTTTTGAGTACGAGCAGCCAATGGATGGAAAATCCGATTCAGTGATTCAGAAAGTTTTTTTTTGAAATTCAAGATCGCCATTCTCAACTCTCAAGTTGCCCCACTCGTCTCTCAACTTGTCTGCGAAAAAGTTCAATTTGGCTACTATCCTCTGTGGCCCATGGGGTGATGTTCGTGACCTTCAAGAAGTTTGTTTTGAAAGTGACGCCAAGGCGAAAGATTGTGAATATGCTTCATTTCTTTTTTTTTTTCTGGGAGAAGCCAAAAGGAGCTTTGGCCTCTAGGGTTTCGCAGGATAACTCTGAGATAAATGAAGTTGAAGAGGCCTCTATGGAAGTGCATCCGTTGAATGAGGAAGATGGATTAGCACCGATGAAGTCACTGAAGTTTGAGTTTTCGCTGCAAACTGAAACGGTTCGGGGGTTGTCGCTTAGACCTCTCGGATTTATTCTTGCCTTACCTTTCCCTGGAGAAATTCAATTCAGACTAATTACCAATTTGAAGGCGGACAAGAGAAATGAAGGCATCGGTATATTTAAGGAGTTTTCCGAACTTTGATAAGCTAGCTCTACTTCTAGCCTTTTCCATCTTTTCGAACATTCCTCCTAAGCTGTTCGACAAGTACATTATTAGTAGTCGTACGGTGTACAACATCTAGAGCATCTCTAGTAAGGTTTAAAGCCGCACCTAGTCGATCTCACGTTTGAGTGCTGTGATAACCCAAAAGTTGTGCACTGAGCGAATAGGTTCTACTCTCGCACGAACTTTTTAGTACGTTCCCCGTAGATTGATTTATTAGTTGAGAAAAGTGTTTTATTTTTTGCTTACTCTTTTATATTACATCATTTCGACAAAATTGAGATCTCAGCACTCGGGCAAATAGCTATTCCGACCTCCGATTTCCGATTATTCTGTCTGAACAAGTCGAACTTCTCTTTGGATGTTTTTGATGACAATACCGTATCAGAAATAATTCATTCATTTCTACAGTCGTTCCATCTCATTTTCTAAGGACATCAGATATTCTCACCAAAGATTAACTGCAATTTTCACAATGTACGCCCTTTGTAGTTTGGCTTACATTCCCGAATGTGTGAAAAGGTCAAAATCGCTAGGACAAGAGTGGAAAATGGTGAGAAAGTATCTAGAGGGAGGGGGCAGTGGTAGGGACCAGCTGAGATGATTACGATTTATAGAAATATTACTGGCTTTATTTGTACATCGCAACTTTCAAGAACTTGTAGACTTTTTCCATAGGCACCGAAAGTGAGAAAAAGCAAAGCAATTAGCTCTTTTTTAGTTATGAGGATGCGCTATGTGTTCCATTTTTTTCAAGAATATAGTAAGGACAAGATTGTAGGAGTACTTGTTTGCGCATGTAGGCCATACTGCTATGTACTGAATACCTGAACCTGAGCCAATCAGTACACAAACAGGTGTTTTTCCACATAGACTGCTCTAGTACCATCAACCCTACCTCGACAGAAAGGCCTGCTTGGTTTAAACAAAACCGGTTCAGGATTAGTACCCTAAATTTCCATAGATAAGAGCGGTTGAAACTACCGGTGTAAAATGAATTGGAATGAAATTGAAATTGAATGCAGTCACCCTCTAACTTGATGGATGGATAAATTAAACTTCGAAGAAGAAGTTAAGAAGAAGCTCCGCCCCTTAACTCTAAACCCCGCCTACTTAATAAACAATTCATATAGAAAAATAGCGATCCATTAAAATCGCTTTTATTAAAATATTAAATATATTAAATATATTATTAAATATAATATAAATATAAATAATTAATATTAAATATAAATCTAATATATAACTAAATATAAATATAATATAATATTAAATTAAAAATATTAAATCTATGCACTGGTCAAGGTAAACCTATTTGAAAGACCCTTTTTACAGACCCTTCAGATACAACGAGATGAACCGAGCGATATTTCATCGGTCAGTTCACCGCAGATGGGACGACGAAAGCTGAACGTTCGAGAAAAATCGCGTCAAATGGTGAAATATGTGCATGAACAGCGAGCTGCCCGTACACTGTCCATCGTCGTTGGAGCGTTTATCATATGCTGGACGCCATTCTTCGTCTTCTCCCCTCTCACTGTCTTGTGTGATACAGTAAGTATAAGTTAAACCAACTTTTTATTTTTATTTCTGCCTAACCGAATTTTTTTCAGTGTTTCGACGACAAGGATACGATCTTCACAATAGTTACCTGGGCTGGTCATCTCAATTCGATGCTGAATCCGTTGATCTATTCACGTTTTTCGCGTGATTTCCGACGAGCCTTCAAGCAGATTCTCACTTGTCAACGTGAACAGAAAGTGAAGACGGCCTTCAAAACTCCCTTATCGCTTGTTTTCACTCAGCTCATTTCGGTCACTCAAATGTGGGATCCACAACAAAATACACCTATTGAATGACAAAGTCACTCCTCCCAATACTTTGTAAAATAGTGCTGTCCCAAAATCGAGAAAATGGATTTCGGTACCCTCCAAGGGCAGATAATGCTGTTAAGGCGTGGGCGGAACGATCCGGCACGAGCTCTGGGCTTTTCATTGGCTGTCTGATATTCCCTAGATCGCCACGCCCTTTTCCCTTGACCAGTACTAACTGTATTGAGCAATATTGGGAATATTGATACTTATCAATATAATAATAATAATAATACCGTACTATAATATTACTCACTCACCCAGTTCTTTGTTAGGATCCATTTTCACGATGATCTCAGCACTAAAGTAAGCTTGTAAGTGACAAATCTGATTTGCTTTTTGCCCTTTTTGAGTGCTGCACAGTCATACCAACAAGTATGCTTCTCTCACTTCATGTCTGCCTTTAGATAGCGTGCTATGAAGTGTTGATAATTGAAAATTCAATTTATAAGGTTAGGAATCTGTTCCAGACCTATCGTTTCTTGCATGTTTTGAAATGATCTCGTCAATATTTTAAGGTCACTCTGTTTTATGCAAAACTACGGGCGTTGACATGCCATGTTATCTGGTGCAATACATTTATAGCTACCAATTACTAGTAAATACAAGTCATAATAGCTAATAACTAGTCATCTGTTCATGATATTGATTGATTATTGCCCTGTATCTAAATTGATGTTGAGCCTTAACGCTTTTCATTCATGACCGTGTACTCTTCTTCAGACGATTCACTAACGATCTCAACGTGGTTTGTTTCATTCTCTTTTGTGTTTCTGAACTCAAACCTCATCACATCGCATCTTAATGCACTCATGGCTGCACGCTACAGTAATCCTGGTGTAACTTTTACTTTTGTGCGAAATAAAATGTTTGCCAATAATTCTCACAGTAAATTTATGGGCGAATTCCAGACTAGAAGTGTTTCTTTTTACTTTAATGACCTATCACTAAATTGCGTCATTCAATGAGAACGACTAAAGAGGAAAAGGTGCATACATACAGCCCCTCAGGAATACGCCACGCATTTGATTCCGTGCAGATTTGAGAGGGATTTGCATGAGCGCACATGTTAGCTCACTGGCGTTAGCACCATTGCTTCTACCTTCATGAACAGGTTCAAACTTGAAAGTTTTCCCGAAAATGAAAAACCTAAGAGTTCGACGGTAACAGTGTTCACGAAATTTTTTTCACTGCATTTTTCCGGAGAAGTTCAAAAGTTTTCTTAAATTGTTTTCAAATGTGCTTCACCCCTGAGCATGCCTTCTGGGGGAATAGTCCAACTCCTGGGAGACATTTCGCAGATAGGCAAGTACATAGGGCCAGTAAAATGTTCCAAGTTTGTGCACAAAGCTTTGGTAACATACTCCAAACACTAATGGAGCCCCTAAAATGAAAATGTTATTTGCTCAGGCTGGATCTTCTCGGAAGGAAATTTTTGATACCACGAATGTTGTAAGCTATAAATAGTTCTAGTAAAAATATAAAACTGGCGTGACATCTTCAAGGGACGGTTTAGTTCCTGGCGTTGTTAAAGAGCTAGGGGATAAGAGCCTTCGCAGAAGCTGTGCCCTTCACGACTAGAGACCTTTTGACCACAATCAAAAGTAAGAAATTTAGTAGTCAGAATTGATCTCTATGGAAAACTAGTTCGATCTCATTCTGTACAACGCATGAAAACTAGTGGAAGCTCGTGCATTGGACTGAACACTTCTCGTTTTTCATCCATTCATTGACACCGGCCCATCAGATATAGGAATGTTTGTGACTGTATCGGAGTTTTTCTTACATATGAATATGGTAGGAAGGAAAAAACGATAGTCTGAGATGATCAAAAATACGTTTGTCACAATTGATGGTGGGGAATGCATAGAGCAGATGAGGCGGTCCCGCCACGATTGCCTTCGCCAGTATTTAAGCGCGCAGCAGCGCCAAATTTGCATCCAGGTCACTTGTTTTTGTATTACTTCCGTATTTTATCCTTGTTCATTTTGCTGGACTATGGAATCTAGTACTTTTCCATGTTTTAGCTACTATATAGTATCCGGGCGGCTTTTTAGGTGTACTCGTTTTTTTTCTCTTTGGTACTAGTATAGCTAGCAAAAAATGCCTGCAAGTCAATCGCAAGCGTATGGATTTCATCTTAGTTAAGGGATATAAAGTGCTTAGGTTAATCGATCAGCTAATTATATCGGTTAATTATATGTTTTGTAACAAATGTTTGCCTTGATTGAGATAGCTTTTGGATTCTACTTTCAATCTTGTAGCACTTTTCAAGTTTATTTGGCTGTCCTTGCTCCATCATACCTTTTTTGGAATCAATTTCAGTTCAAGCTTTTAGAGCTGTAACTTAATCTTGTCCACTAGTTTTTGAGATCCCAGCTTCCGCTAAAGAAATTCTTCAAAATACCTTCAAGTAACCACGTACTCTTCCATTAAGATTATTTGCTCTGATTTAAATGATTCAAAGCAAGAATATTCGAAACCAATACCCACTCGATACGTTTAGCAATTCCATCTGGATCTGGTTTGATGAATAAGCATACATGGAACAATCTACTAGTACAATATACATCTTATAAAATGATCAGTTTAAGTATTGTTCTCACTTTTACTTTGTTGAAACGTCACGGTGGGCGGGATGTTCACCAGAAGACGACTGAGTGCTCGGTGATGGTTGCTGTTGTTGCCCTAATACACTCAGTGTACAGACAATAAGCTACATTTACATGGAAAGTTCTCTAGTTGGTGGGATTAGGAATCCATGATACGTCGAACATTGACAGAAACTTTGCCATTTCTCTCCAGTCGAACTCAACATAAACGCTCACGACTGATCGGTTTAGGGGGCTGAACCGCGCCAATTTTTCAGGGTTCACTTATGAAACTTGGTCCGAAAGTGTGTATCATTAAGATATTCCTTGGCGTCCTTGGTGATGTAAACGTGTGGTCTGAACTCGTTTCATAGTTCGTACCCCGAAACTGAGCCCTTTCATTCAGAAGGTTCAAAACCCAGACTCGTATCTTTCTTGATGGTGTCAAGCCATACCTAAGAATTTACGAGGCTGGATCTGCTCCTACCATGTTTACCACAGTGGAAGCTGAGAGGATGTTGGTGAAAAATTGTGAGAACAACCATGTGACAGTAATTTCTTTTGAAGCTTGACTGGCTTTTACTAAATACTTCATTAAGTCCCTCAGTAACTGCATGACTTGCGAATGACACATTCTTGCAGTTGGGGCTTTTCATTCGGTCAATCGTTGCTTCATCAATTCGTAAGGAAGTGCCGTCCTTTGTAACAATTGGCTAAAGTTGGCCTGACAGTAGCTTGACGTCAGTGAACCATACTTTCAAGAACATGGTCTCATAAATGCTGGCACTTGTGTGACATAGTTGGTATCACCTGTCATCGTTATCATCGATTGCTCGAGCGGCTCCCATTCTTCGTCCCTGTCGCGAGTGTATGTAGTGTAGTCTAAGGCACCGCCCTTCCTCAAGGGACACGAGCATAGAATTTTGTTCGTTCGGAGCTTTCACGAATTGGTATAATTATCACGATGAAATCCGTTCCGTTTCACTGTTATTCAAGTCCAGAACAGCAATAGTGAGGATGTAGATTGGGTAAGTGCAATGATTCGTAGACGCATTGCAGGCTGAGGCTTCGTTCCGGGAGTACTATCCGCATGGCCGTTTTGCGTTTAAAAGCACTTTTCTTCACTGGAACACGGTCCCGGTACGCTGTGATGATAGGGGCTCGCTATTTGGCCCAGGGTGCATTCAGTAGTACTTGTTTTCTGATGCAGAGACTGTGCCGGCCGCCAATCGATCGATACCTTGCAAGTCGCCTCATACCCATACTGGGCTCTTTTTTTTCTTGCAATGTTACTTATATGGACTCGGTTAAAAAACATCCAAAAGGGTGGTGGGGTAAGCCAGGGGGTTACTGTAAGAACCGAGTGCCGGACTGAATTCTCATTTTAGTGCCTAGTCCTGTCATTTTGTTATGGTAAAGGAGAGGCTGATACTAGTATCTCCAAGAGGTTCATAACTTTTTTTTGCATGAAAAGTTTAATTATTCGTCATCACGCTTGATGATTGGAAAACTTATTTACTTGAAATTTCACACTGTCCCTTCAAGTTTTGCCATCTATCTAAATTCATTGAAAGAGGCCTATGGTCAAGTAGAGTTCGTTCATTTATGTGCTTTTACTCTGTATTTAATATTTGTACCAGTTACCACTGCCAATGTTTTTACTCGTTTGAAGAGTGATTCTTGAAGTTCCCCCCCCCCCCCCCCCCCCCCTCCCCCGATATGAATGGTGTGCGACGAAGTCCTTGGCTTGAACTAGCAATAAGCCGATTTTTATCTATCCACGGTTGGATTGCATCCTGTACACGGTACTCATCAAGCGTTGTGATCGAGAAGGCGGGGGAGCATAGCCCCTTCTCGATGTTCAATCCGGTCTAGCAAGTTCATACAGCACTAAGCTGAGAAGAATGAGATAACAGGGTTTCAACCATTTTTGAAGTGGTTTTCAAAATTCGAAAACTGCTGTACAGTGCATATGTCCCTTACTAGCTCACCTCCAACTGAAATGTCTGTCGACACCATACCATTAATGGGGCATGCTCCTCCTTTTATGTCCTCTAGATCTGATTGCGTTCTCAGAAAGCTTATGAAAACCCTTATCGTATATGATTTCGCAGGGATCTAGTTCCATTTTTCCTAGTAGTGGGAGAGGGAGGAGAGGGGAGGGGAGTTGATTGTTGGAAGCATATTGGTTGTAGCTTGGATCGAGGTCAAACTAGTAAATTCACTACCAGTTGAGCTTGCTGCTATCAAAATAAAATACCGAACAGCCTCCGGAACTGGTTCTACAAGCAGGGGTGAAAGTTAGCACCAATTAATCCCGCTCTGGGCCTCGCGCATCTAACTTTCGCTCAGGAACGTTGAACTGCTTGTGTGAGTTTTTGGTCTATCCAATGGATTGCGGAAACCAGCTGATGTACAAGTTCGTAATTTTATCCTTCCAATAAAGTTTTGTAGCGATCAACCCATTTTAATCAGGGAAAACTTGGTTTGTTCGGGTGGGTACAAGTGTAATTCTAAGATCCATACTTGCATTGCAAACAGGACTTGTCACATTTCCAGCTATTGTTGTTTCAATCAGTATGAATTAAAAGCAGCAATTTATCAGCGCCATTCAGAGGTCGCTAAGGATGAAAGGGCAGGCCGGTTAATATGCTTCCCACAATCGGTTGCTTCATAGTCCGAACCACTCACCAAAATGGTTCAAGAAATGTTCTTGTGTAGTACTGATTGCGAAAGATTCAGAGTGACTAACTAGTAAAAAAGCAAAATTTCACTTGATGTTGTTTTAAAAACAATGTCGATACTTATAGTCAAGGTTCAATCGAAACTCTGTGGTGAATAAGGGCCTAGCTTGATATCATCACATACTTTTCCTTCTGAAAGATGCTTTTCCCCGGATCAAGACAAAGCTGCATGCATTTGTAACCGAGACGGACCCAGGAGGTCTTGAAAAGTGAAAAAAATTGTGGGCAATCCTTCGGGATGACAAGGGACGCGATCCCGTTGTCGAAGTGAAAGGAAGGAGAGAATCAACTCGCGAACGCGCCGAAATCGTCCCTATCCTGTTTCCTTTCTCCCTGTTGCCTCGATAGGTAGCAAATCTTGATCGGTGAAAGCTCTCAGTTCGAATTGAACTTTTCGTGGGATCCAAATAAAAGTTGCCACCATTTAAAAATCACTGTTCTCCCAACAGAGTTGAAACGGCATAGTTCACAACTACTGAACAGGACGCTTTCGGCTTTGATGAGATCCCGCTTCTTGATTTTCGTTCCATGAATAAACGCGGAAAACTAGCAATCGAGCCATCAATTTATTTGTATCGGAATGTTACCTAAAAACTGACGAGAACACACGAAACGTTTGATTTATTCGGAAAACTGAAATCCTGTAAACGGATCGAATGCATTTATATCGCGGATTCGTCACATTAGCGATTCGATGGAATGCGTGATGAATTGTGGGGATCAAATAATAGAACACTCTTGAAATTTCCGGTCACAGTTGAATGGGAAGCTGACCAAGCAAATTCCTGAATTGGACTGAAATCTCCATCTAGATCCTTGAATGGCAATTCATACCGTTGTCGATTTCGGGGATAAGTTTATCTTGATTAACTGCCCCCTCTTTGCGGCGGAATCGGCGAGAATGATAAGAGGATCCGAATATGTAGGAGAGCGAATAAGTTTTCTATAGCTCAGGGATAGGTCTTTTGATACGAGACCAGATCCGGCAGCAGGGACGAAGGCACTGAGCGAAACGAAACTTGGTGGCCATCGCATCTATGGACCCTCATAGTAAAGGCTTTGATTTTGTTTGAAATTAGCATCACCAAGGATTGGACCGACGAAATCAGCCTTTCTATCATTTGGTTTTTCCGAAAGTGTTTGCCTGCCTTACAATGGGAAGCATTTGAACAATAAAAGGATAAGAAGTATTTGGCGTTAATCAACCAGTTTTTCAGATGCACCCTTGCATATGACTTCCATTTGAATCTGTGTGGCGTTTTAGTGCTCTTGAGACATTTGTACGTCACGTATATGGCTCGTATGTGCTGAAAATTCCACAGTAGTCTAAACTTCACGTTGAATTTGCAGGAAGGTTCCATAGAAATGCTGTAAAAAGGCTCTACTTATTCATTTAATCGTTAGAATATTTCATAATATCACTATCGGTTAACCAGATCGAACTCCGTTTTCGCATTTTTGTTTAAGGCTGTGAACCGATGAATCGGAATGGGGCATGCTCAGAACTGCTTAGAAGGGATATCAGGGCCGAATGCTTGACCGTAGTCTCAATGGTTTCAGCAGCGGAGGGATCGGATTCAAACTTGTGAAGAATACACGTGGAATATAGGAAGACAGTTCGATCATTGTGTGGCCAAATAAGCTAGGAAGATGTTGCCGGATACGTTATGCGTATACGCGTTACGCGTATGTGTAGTATCCTTACACAGAAACCCCAAGGAAGCTTCCACAAAATCTGTGAAGAAATCTCGACTACTGCAGTATTTTTCGCAGATATCTCTCACAAACTATTTTTTTTTTCAAATACAAGACAAGTTTTACGATCAGGAAATGCTTCCGTTCAGAAGCAGTCGGAAAATTTGGGTTATTACTGCCTTCCATTCTATCAACGTTTTTCTTCAGACCTGGTTACTGTTTTTTCTGTGATGTGGATTTCTGGGTCATTAGCGCTTCTGGCTCAGGTCATTTCCCGTCGACGCAATAAGAAAAGAGATTTGGAGCCTTCCAAGGTGGCCAGGAGACAGGCCAGACATCAGGCGGTGTTTGTGAAAGGAATTCTAATGCTGTTTGATAACTGATAGTTTAGGCCTAATCAGTGCACTTAATTAATCGGCCTGGATGAACTCAACAGTTCAGTGCTTACCTGGAAGTAACAGCCGGAAATTCGCAATAGTCAAGATTTGTGCTGGGATTTTCTGGCAGTTTCCGTAAGGTTCCTCTATAAGGAGATAAACCACGCGTATACTCATAGCTTATCCGGCTATCTGTTCCCTTCCATGTCTAGTTTTGGCTCTACCATTCAATGACGAACTGTCTGCCCATATTCAAATTGTAAATCTTTACAAGTTCAAATCCGGTCATTAAATTGATTGATACTTGTGTCGAGCTTTTGGGCTTAGAGCCCTTCGGAGAGATACTGTGTACATCTCCTTCCGAGTCTTCACAGCCTGATTTAAACCGTTCGAAGACGATCAAACGATCACAATTCGATCCGTCTAGTCAGCTGTTGATCGAGTAATTTGGACGGGATTTGAACATGAGAAAGAAAGGATGGGTCTCCTACTTTGATAAGCCGAAGCAGTATCAACGGGAAATACCATGGAGGCCTTCTTTGTATGTTTCACTTTTGCGCGTCGTTTTCCTACCAAGTTCGAATCCCATCAAATTTACTCGGTCATCAGCTGACTGGTCAAACTAATCTGGTTCTAATCTAACTTTCGAACATTTCCTTTCCCGTGCGCTATCAGGTAATTCCAATCGGCCGCGGTCTAGCGTTCCACAAACCCGTTTTAAGTAGCTTCGAATTGTGAAATTTCACCCCTGATGGCCCATATCGATATAGCGATGCAGATTCCGAAATGGAATTCTCAATATATACTATGTACATACAAAAGAAATGTCTGTATGTCTACGTATACATTGGTATGTGCACTTATCCTGGGATCGGATCGCCTGGATGACCCGGTTTCGGGCCGGACGACGACGACGACGACGCCTCACCCATAGGCGGCCATCAGCAAACGCCCTCTCCGCCTTAGCCGGCTGACCAACACCACCTTCACTCGGACATCGTCGTCGACCCAGCGATGCAGCTCGTCACTGCCTCGCCTATTCAACTTCTTCTGCTCTTACTGGCGCTAGCCCACAACGCCGTCTCTGATAAGCCACTCATTATTGAAAACGGGGGTAAATAATTTGTTTTTACCATTGTATACAAAAACCTAAACCTGGGCTGCCTCATCAGTTTTCGCTGAAGTACGGCATGTTCTACTTGATTTCACCCTCATAGGGTTACAACACCCTCCTATAGGGAGGGCTCTGCAAAATAAAATGTGGCAAAATCACATACGGATGTCTCAACTTATCAAACAGGATCTGTTCGTTCTTATCTTCGCACTTGGAAAGGGAAATTTGCTCTGAACCGGTTCTCGGTTTTCGTTTTTTTCCTAGTTAATATGAACGGAGAAAAACGTGGCGGGCCTATTGAGTTGAGCTGAATGTACGTGGTTCGATTTCGGACCGCAAATGTTTCGGTCGTCGGAAATGTCACACCTTTTTCTGTGTGACATAGTCGTCAATGCAGTCATAAACCGGCGTGACGATAATGATCGGCGTGGGAGAGAACTCGCTTTTCATCTCGTTCTTCTCCCGTGTCCGTCAATCTTGCCCGGAATCGAAATCGAAACCCGGCGACTCGCACGGGGGTTTCGATTTCAGCTATCGCTGACCCACATACCAAGGGGCCACCCATAGAGAATTCAATTGATGAAAATGCTCTTTTAAAATGAATGTGAAGTTTTCGTGATGCACAAATCCTATTTAGCGATGCACGATCATTTCTCATTCCATAGGCTGTACCAGAGAAAAGCGAAGAAAATGGGTCAGAATCACACGTAAATGGATTTTGCATTCCAAATTCCTGATCGACCCTTCACCGTCTCAATCTATTCAGTCAAGAACGATTGAATGCGAAATGAATTGAATCCTCTTTTCTTTCAGCTGTTTGCGAGAATAAAGCAACCGGATTTTTCGTCGTCGATAATACGATTCTTAGCACAGCTGACTCCATTGTCTACAAGGATACACCTGAAGAAGACTGCCTTACTACATGCTCCACAAACAGGGTAGGTCTTTAGGTTTTATTTGATCACTTGGTTTGCACTTATGATCGTTACCATGCGATTACTATAACTAAAATGTTGTTCTCTCTAGGGTCATTGCTTCTGAAACCTTGTAGTATTCTTGCTTACTTGACCGGATATATTTTTCCATCTTTGAGACAGGAATTCGAGGCGCAGTTCAGACGCTTCCTTTTTTTCTCTTCTGCTTAGATTTTATAGAGATTCGTTGAGAATTTCATAATGGCTTAGAAACCCCTTCGTCGATCGGCATTTTTTCTTTACTCCTTACTTACCTTCTCATAAGCATTATGGAGAAATTCGATGGAGTTTTTTAAAGTACATTGCTCCACCGTCATCCCTTCAGTTTCCGTTGCCACTTTCTTTGTACATGAAAATGTGTTATGGACAATCTCATAAGAGCCAAATGGAAATAATGGTGTGCTCTGGTTTTCATGGCCAATTTCTCCTTGATCTCAGGATCGGTTCGGACGTTCAATTCTGTGCGCATCGTTTGTATACGATCACGCCTCATTTACTTGCACGATTTTCAAAGAAAAAGCGAAACCAGAAGGAAAAGCCGACGTTATCCAATCTGTCGGCAAACGCTACTTTGAGAAAGTCTGCTTAGGAGGTAATGTACCGACTCAATTATTCAACGTTCTAGGCTATTTATACTGCAATTACCCGCCTTTAAACAGGTAACACTCTCTGTTTTATCGATGAGTGTTGCCTAGGTTGTTTTACAGTAATCTGGACAGTGTATTTAGTTTTCAAACTTAGGAATCACTGTTTTATTGGATATTTTTCCATTCAGATGATGTTCCAATGGAATGTGCTGATTCGCAGTTCATTCGGGCTGATGATTCTGTTCTGATCGGATTCGCCCGGAACGTAACGCTTGTGGAAACAATGGAGCAGTGTGTAGAGCAGTGTGTCAAGGAGAGCGATTGCAAAGTGAGCAGAATTCCACATTAAATAATCTTTATTTTTCATGATTCGTTGTTTTTCCTTTTCAAAGTGTTTTTGTCGACCAGCAATTTGTGAGAAACAAGAAGCCATCATAGGAGATCGATCTATGATCGTTGATCCGGAAAATATGATACTTTTATTCACCAGGTTGTGCAGAAAGAACTGGCCGAAAAGTTTCACATGGTCTAGATTTCTGCGGGAAAGATTCATGAGATTTCTGTGCCAGGTCTATACCAGTGCCTATGCGAATGACATACCCAACTTCCTGTTCCCTACTTATCTAGCCATATAATGGTCGAACTAATCTACCCATATTCAAAATAAACTTTTAAAAACTTGGAATCCGGCTCTCCGCTGCTGAAACGCGCTGAAACTTGGCTGGTCATGTATTTGGCTTTGAAGCCCCTTCCAAACGTTTTTGTTTACACTTCGTTACTTCGCACAGATCCTTTCATAGTATTTTCTTGATAGCTTCCGGAAAATCCGTGGAGAATCCCGGAATAGGTTTAATCCCAAAAACCTTGAAATACTTTGCAGACACTTTCCGCACAAACTTATAACAGTTAATTTGAGTTACTGCGATTTGAAATTACTATGTACTTTGTCATTTTTTTGTAAGACAAGCAAGTGGAAACCAATATACACTCTTTTCCATGGAACTTATAGACCTAAAACAAACCTTATTTGCCAATCGATACTTGCTTAATTCCTTTCTTTTCTCACTTCTATCCGTGCTCGATTATCGATTCACGCGCCATGGCTCATAATCGATTCAAAAACTTGGAGTTTCATTTGATACTGCTTGGTAGAGCACATATTTAAATTGTTTTCAGTACTATTGTTAAAGCTTGCATGAGATAAAATGTCAGTCTTGAAAAACTAAATTTCCTCGATTATCTTATAGTCTGCCATGTACTTCTACGAAGAAGGAGAATGCATCACGAACACCGAGTCCGCGCTGTCAAAGCCAAGTGCGTTCGCAAAGGAGGAGAACGAAAAGGTTGTCTACTTCCAAAACGGATGCCTTACCAAACTTCAGACTCAGGGTTAGTGAGTGGACAAGTTTTTCTTTGATTTTTAATATGATTTTGCATGGAAGTTCAGAAAGTGTGACCGAAGCCGTTGAGGCGACCACAATGTCGGAGTCCAGTGAGACGACAGACGAGGTTGAGACCGCAGAAACAGGTGAGAGGGGTTTGTTAGCCAAGTTTTTCACATGGCTTATTCTGTTTGCACCATGTATTTCTTTTGAAAAACTCTTTTTTTCTCTTTGGAAGTTCTGTTATTTGGTTTCAAAATACACTTCTATTGGTAAGCTTCCGCCGCTGTCATAACTACTTCAGATCTCTGATAGGTATGAACAAGTAAAAGTTACTCAGTTGTTCACATTACAAATGAGTTCGTAACGGAATAGTTCACTAACCAAACCAGCTCTATCAAATTTTGTCGTGGGCAGTTTTTCTTATGCATTTTCCCTTTTATATTAGGTTGGTAACAGAGGAACTGCATATTTTTTTAAAGTACTCCAAGCATCCTTAAAGGTAATCACCCGCGTTTCAAGAAGATTTCTATTCATACACCAGGTACCTGAGGGTTTTACAGGTCAGTATATGACTGAATGAATGTTTCTTTTTTGAAAAAAGGTAAATATACTTTCCTAAAATAACCGCAGTTACTTAGTTGCCACTGTCATGGGCAACTAAAAAACTAGTATGGGTCTGAGTTTGCTATGACAGAAAGCTTACCAATAAAAAGTGTATTCTAAGAGTTTCCAACGTTGATATCTTCAAAGAGAAATGCACCACACACGAGGCTTAGGAATGGATCAATGATAACCGTTGTTTTTGTTCATTCACTGCCTTCTTCCGCTCACTTCACAAGCACGATCCATTTGTTGACGGGAATTGTGCGATGAGATCTATTTCTAAGATTTTGTATGGATGACAAACTGGGTCAGGATTACAGGAGGGCATGAAATCAGAATGGATTTGAAGATGCGGAAAGAAGAAAAACATCTGTACGGAACAGAGCGGTTCCTAATGTGTCATGACAGGTGTTGTTCGATTGCTAAGAAGTGTTAAAACACAAAAGAGTTTTGAAAAAAGCCCGCAGCCGCCCCAAAGACACAAGGAAGAGACCAGTCACGAGGCTTAACTCAAGAAAAATCAAGCTTGGGCGTCATTTGAAGGTGTCGTACAGGTGTTCCCATATAGTTTAGGTCCACTAGGTTTAAGAAAGGTCCTCATGGGAAGGGTTTTCCAGCTTCAAATCCTCATTCTTTTCTGACTGTCCCCTTCAAAAACTAAAAGTTGTCTACTAGAAAAAGAAGCAAATGCTTTCACGCTTGCTCAACCTCTTTCGTTTTCCGACTTTCGCCTCAGGTGTGATTTTCGGTATCGCCAGTTCTCGCCAGATCAAGAATGAAGGCTGTAGACTTTGTCATAATATGGGGAAATTTCCTTTCGAGTTTCATTGGCAAAAACACGACTGTAAAGAATTGTGGCTAACTTCTACTTTACACCTTTCTCAAGAAACTATTGCTTGGATTAGTACTTTCGAATGATTGTTTGTAGTAATTGTATGTAACCAATGCTTTACCGCAGCACTCCACAGATCCACTCGTACGCACTGCACTGAAGCACATTTTAGAGTCACCTACACTCACCACTACAGAACCATCCGACAGTACAGACGAGTCAGATGGAGCCGAAATGGGTCAGGAAAGCGACAGTGGCCGAGTAACGGCTGCTGCCACAGAAGAGCCAGAGGTTTCCGATTCTATGGAAACGGCTGACGATCATGAAGCTTCCGAAATTGAACAGCCTTCGCACACAGCTGCTGAAAGTAAGACTAACCGCTCGGCATCTCCGTTGTTAACTACACGAGCATTAGCCTTTTGGTTATCAGTGCTCTGTGATCTCGAAACCACCTAAGGAACTTAAAACTTTTCTAGATGTGAGTGAGGATGAGGACGTTGAGGAAACTACATCAGCTGAAACAACTCCAGCGGCTATCGAAGTTACTACAGCTGACTTGGAAGTCAGTTCTCAGGAACAAGTCAAACTTTTGTACTACTAACTCTCTTAATGCCACTCTTTCAGCCTGAAATGAAGGTGGAAGACGACGACGAGGATTATGTGGCTGAAGACGACAGCGAAGATGTGGGTGTTTCCTTTCATCAAATTTCTTATTTTCGTCAATTAATGGTAACCAGTACTGCGATGTAAAGTATTATCCAAACATTTAAGACAGAAACTGCTACAACGGTAAGACAACTGGAGAAGAAGGGAGAAAAAGCCAGTTACATAAAGTGAGAGATTTTTATGTTTTCCGCTGTTTGCTCTGAGTTGTACACAGTAAAGTACATTTGTGTTCAGGTACAAGAAACATCCAAAGAACTTTGCATCAAAAATACGTACGCCAGAGAAAGAGCCAGAGGCTGAGGTAGCTTTAGCCAAGTATATACAGCTGGATCTACTTATCTCTTCTGTTTAGCTGACCTCATCTTTTTTCGATATATTAAGTCTATCAGGTGATCCTTTACAGACGGAAACAACCCCAGCTGACGATGTTGAAGAGAAGGCAGTAGCAGGAAGTTCCAGTGCCGAAGAGGAGGTACTTGCACTTGCCTACTTGTTAGTGTTTATTTTATCATTTCAACATCTAATCAGATTGGTGACTCATTTGCTGGTGAGGATGATGGTGAGCCAGTCGAAGGAGAAATGGCCCCAGTTGAAGGGAAGAAGCACCTTTCAATCAAGAGGGTGCTGGAAAATAAAGAGGATGGTGAGGTACGTAACTGGCTATTCATTAGTAAATAATGTTGGGGAGGAGGTAACATTATGTTCTCATTTGGTCGAAGTTACGCCACTGAATGCATGTGTATTTATTCGCTTTTACGAGAGCTGTTTTTTATGATGTTGTTATTTGAATACAAAGTAGTATTTTGAAGCAGATACTTGAGGCAAAGGAAAAGATAAAGGGCTCACTGGTTTATTAATGAAATTGGCTACCCACTATACTTCAATCAGCCTTGTACTAACATTCGAGCTCTTATTCTGTACGTAAGCCAACTATGTCCGACACCTTTTTTGTATCTCCCTGAGAGAATTTCCTGCCCATCAACCGATCAAAGCAAGTCAAAAGAATGGCAAGCTAGGCAAAGACACAGACACAGCCAACTGCTCGGTTCGCTTCTACCAGACCTCAGTGACTTCCTATCTATAGATCTACCTTCAAAACACTTGAATAGTGATTTCAGTCTGAATTGCGTTATTTCATTTATACAAAGTTTTTTTTTTATTGTAAGCATTAATCTTTAATAATAGTACATTTCGAGCCAAGTTACTGTAATTTGTTAAAGGAATATCCAACGTACTTCTCTGACTGGTCCGATTGGACTCCTTGCACGAAAGCCGGCGAACGACAGATTCGTCGTCGAAAGTGCCTTGATTTACGCCGTTGCCTCGGCGCTTTGATGCAGGTCCGCAACTGCCCCGCAGTATTGCCCGAACCAGTTCGTAAGTTTTTTTTTTCTACCTTTAAGTATATATTGAATAAGAAGTCGCATGTTCCTACGGACTTTTTAGAATCCGGTCCTATCGAATCGGTGCGATCCGTGATCGATGTGCCTCGAATTCCAGAATATGACGACACGGACGGTAGATGTTACAATTTTGGTTGTTTTCTTGTTTTGTTAAATATTTTTGTTCAACAGGTCAAGTAGACCTTCGCCAACCATCAAGTCAACAAGCTACGGAAAACATATGGAGTCCATGGCTGGGAGTGTGTCAGGTGAGATAGGAAATTTATTGCTGGCTAAACTTGCTGCTACTGTCGCCATTGTATTCGATGTCCTCAAGTGCCCTTGGTTTTCCTACGTTAGCTGCTTGTATTCGGCAAACCGTATAAGGCTGTACCGGGCATGATACTATCCTCTTACAACTCGCCGAAGTTCACTTTTGAAATTCTTGCTGAAAAGCGCACTCACTAGAAAAGTTTGAACCTTCGGACAGGTGTATTAACAGTTTTTTTTAACAAAGCCGTTTAAGGCAGTTATCCGATTTTTACTGTAATAGGATAACTGTCTTGTACAAGCTCCCTTATATTGTAAAAAAAAAGTTGACCCTAATGTTGAGTAGAGTATTAGAATATAGCGATGGAACCGGTTTTCGAGATATGTGGAGCATGAGAACTTGATCGCATACTTAGTTTGTCGGTGTAGTTATCCGGTGATCAGGGCAACCTGGAAAGCGAAGGTTTATTATCGTTAAGCGGCAGCGGACAGGTTTTACCCGATCTCCTTCATAGTATTCAAGGGACCTGGAAGTGAGCACGTCGATATTATTGTAGTGAAGTTAGTAGCCCTGTCAACTCTTAATTCGTTGTATGTCAGTTTCATTTCGTAGGTGGACGAAACACCGTATCCTGAGTCTTAATTGATTTGAAAGCTTCGTGGATTTTCCGTGAGATGAATCATCCAACCCCATGCTTCGTGATTAGCTAACGGAATAGCTGGTGAGGAATTAGTTGGGGCTGGTCGCTCCTCGTCTCTGGACTAAGCGCCACAGTGGAAGGAGAGAGGTATAGCTGGCTTTGCTAGATCGTAATAGTGCTTAGAAAAGTTCCCCAGCCAAGGTTATATAGTTGGTAAGTAAGCTTTGGGATGTGGGAAGCACCAGAGTCGGTAAAACAACGAATCAATTGAATGTCAATTCTTTCCTCCTCCCAGCTTTTTGCACAAGATGATCATCTCACCCGCCCCAATGTTCCTCTGCTTTTCAAACTTATGTTTGACAAAACTATACTCCCGTTACTAAAATACGTTTCCAAGCGGCCCGCAAACCCGGCTAACCCTCCTTCTCTGCGCTTCATCCCTAAATGTAAGAAACGAAGGGTGCCACTTCACTACATTACCACCATATAGCCTCACCAGTAGTTTGACTAGTCTGAGGTACCAGTCAAGAGGAAGGTTGACGTATAAACTTCTTACAGCTTTTCTTCCAATTCTTCCACTAGGTCGTGATTTGCAGTGATATTCTTCTTGCAGCATTTCGCTTCCGGTCAGCCGTGCAACAATGGCGAAATGATCGGTTTTGAGTCTCGTGAATGTATCGCAAAGGAGCCAAGCCTCTGTGAAGGGCCCTTCTTCAGATACTGTACATTGCCATGTTAATTGCCATTTCCTGGAAGTTCGTCCATTTTTTTGTGTCCTCTGTGCTACGTCTTTCTCTGGTTGACCACATTCATTGTTTATTAGCCAGCTTAATTATTTTCCAAAGCTTAATTGTTTTATTTTTCGTGTTCTGGTGTTGTCATGTGCAATTATGATTGTGCCCTATGTGTCTGTTTTCCACATTTCCTATGGGTGCATTTTTGAACCGTTGATATTTTGAGATTGTGTCAGGCATTTTATCGTTATGAACTTTAAACGCCCTTTCACGGAGGTTCCTGTTTCATCGCAACGTCTGCATCAAATCTTTCTGTTTCTTACTAAAATTGCCTTGCGTTTTTGGTTTTTTATCAGTACAAAGCCTCCCTAAGTTTGTCTGGTACTGCTATACCATTTTATTATGGTGGTTATTACTGGATTCAAATCAATTAATAGTATTTTGATCTGGCGGACGATTTGGTTCCTTCCAGTACATACTGTACCTTTGTAATGTTAAGTGCTACGTGAAAAATTTTATTAAATTTTAAGGTTTTGTAGTTTGCTGCAAAACAGAAATGGTGACTTCCGTTCCGTTAACTTCCTCATGGAGCTTATGAGTATGTTTCCGATCCGAAATTCAAAGGTGGGGAGGTCTCGAATGTTTCTATAGAGTTTCCTAGGAAAACTGGTATTTGTTGTTCCGTCACGTCTATCTCCAGCTGGGACCACTACTGCATACCGAGCAGTTTGTCCCAGCAACGATAATTTTAGGTTGGCAACCAAAAAACTGTCCATAAAGGAATAGGAAAATTTGGTTGTTTTCTTCCACAAATTGTGTTTTGACCATGAAATACTTGGGTGCTAGGGTAAATATTTAAAGTACTGAGAAAACCCGGTTGTTTCTTAGTTGCCAACCTAATGGTTGAAGCCGTTTACGTGTTTTTACGGGTGGACTAAGATGTGCTCGGCTTCAACCAAGATTAGGTAGTGCTTTACTATTCACCTAACCACTTAACCCAGGGGGACGGAACATTTTCCTAAATGGAGGGGCGCGCGGCGAAGTTCCTCGTGATTTGAACGACTTTGGCGCCTGTCTTTGGGGCCCAGGCATGAAATATACTAGATTGGTAGTAGTATCAGCTGACCTACTAAGTTGCGCTACTTCAAACCTGTGACCTAATGATGGGCGCCAGACGCGTTCATATCGCCCCGAATTTCGCGGCGCCATTTGCCGCGCGCGTCTCCTATTGGGCGAATGTACCCATACCCCTTAACCCACTCTATTCATTTCTCGGTGCTTCATCATCAATGAAACATTTTTTTCAATGTGGAATCTTTGCGGCACGTACAGTGTTACTAGTAATCTTACAATTCTAATCCATCTAAAAAGTAATTCTATCAAGTACGATCCTGTGACACGGTACTGGTAACTTATGTTGAGGCTGAGTTTTTTTTTCTAACTGACCGTTGCGAGGTGCTGCCAAAAGAAGCCGATTTATCCTGACACAAGGTTGTCCATTTGGCCATTATTACCTGCCAAAATCATGCAAGAAAATAGGATGATCAATGTTTTTTGTG